GGCTTGTGCTTCAGGACACTACAGGTATCACCACCCCACTCACTCACCATTCGTGGGGAGGCCTTTGTTGCCTCCAAAGGGTGGGTGATCTAGTTCTAGCTTCCCATCCCTACAGCTTGCCTTCCAGTGCCACTTCCTTAGCTTGAATCCTCATAAAAGCAGAGCCTCAGCCCAAACCGGTTTGGCTCAGTGGATAGAGCGTCGGCCTGTGGACTCAACGGTCCCAGGTTTGATTCCGGTCTAGGGCATGGACCTTGGTTGCTGACACATGTCCAGTAGGGGGTGTGCAGGAGGCAGCTGATTGATGTTTCTAACTCTCTATCTCTCTCCCTTCCTCTCTGTAAAAAATCAATATATTTTTTAAAAAAGAATAATCTTGAAAAAAAAGAACAACAACAACAAAAAAGCAGAGCCTCAGGCATGCTCTCCCGGGGGCTCACCCTGCTTTCCTCCCCCACAGGCATGCTCTCCCGGGGGCTCACCCTGCTTTCCTCCCCCACAGGCATGCTCTCCCGGGGGCTCACCCTGCTTTCCTCCCCCACAGGCATGCTCTCCCGGGGGCTCACCCTGCTTTCCTCCCCCACAGGCATGCTCTCCCGGGGCTCACCCTGCTTTCCTCCCCCACAGGCATGCTCTCCCGGGGGCTCACCCTGCTTTCCTCCCCCACTGGCATGCTCTCCCGGGGGCTCACCCTGCTTTCCTCCCCCACAGGCATGCTCTCCCGGGGGCTCACCCTGCTTTCCTCCCCCACAGGCATGCTCTCCCGGGGGCTCACCCTGCTTTCCTCCCCCACAGGCATGCTCTCCCGGGGGCTCACCCTGCTTTCCTCCCCCACAGGCATGCATCTCCTACCTAAGGGATGTCCCCCCACAGCCCCCACCCCCAGACTCGCAATCTAGAAAGCAATGGTCAGTGTCAGCTTGTCCTGGCTAAACCCCTGAGCCGATCTCCAAGGACCCTTTTCCCTAACTTTCCAGTGAGCCAAAGCAGCCCGCCCCACCTAGGCTCTATCCTGTTGCTTCTATTTTTTTTCAAAATATATTTTATTGATTTTTTACAGGAAGGGAGAGAGATAGAGAGCTAGAAACATCGATCAGCTGCCTCCTGCACATCTCCTGCTGGGGATGTGCCTGCAACCCAGGTACATGCCCTTGACCGGAATCGAACCCGGGACCCTTCAGTCCGCAGGCTGACGCTCTATCCACCGAGCCAAACAGGTTTCGGTTGTTACTTCTATTCTAAGCCCTTCCTTCTTTCACTGTTCCCACCTTTGATGCATGTATTCTCAAATTTATTTTTTTTAAAAAGAAAAGAAAAAAAAGCAGAGCCTGAGCCTAGAACTTGGGTGCCGTTTATCTGATAACTGATTCCAGGAAATGAGAGGAGTGAGGAGAATGACAAAGGCAGACGGAAAATCCAGCAAAGTGGTCCCTTCCTGGTTGAAGGCTGCCCAGAAGGCACTCCCAGGCTGCACCTGTGGGTTGAGAGCGCTTGAGGCTTAGGGGAAAGCCTTGAAGCGGAAAAGCAGACACTCGAAATGAGGCGCTGACTGTGTACACAGCCATCCACTACAGTCGCAGCTAAAATCAGAGGTGGGTGATCAGAGGTAACCAGAAGCCCCGAAGCCCCTGGTACACCTTCCCCACCTCTAGAGGATTGGAAATCTGTGACAATGTCAAAAGCCAAACACTTTCTACTCCCTGGGACTCCGGTACCCATCTTTTGTGGACCTTTGTTCATTCCAGAAATATTTGGAGGGGGGCTAATAAGTGTTGAGCACTTTTCTATATTGAGATACAGGAAACAACAGAATAAAAAGCCCCATGGAGCTTACATTCTAGTGTGTGAGTGTGTGGGGGGAGGGGAAGTAGGCTGATGATAAAGAAAATATACAGCATATCAAATAGTGACAGATGTTAGAAAACAAAGCAGGAAAAAAGGATAATTTGTGCTAGTTTGTTGGGGGTGGAGAGGAGGCATGCTTTTTTATTTAACTTCAAGCATCAATTTGTTGTTCCCCTTATTTATGCATTCATTGGTTAATTCTTTTTTTTAATCTTCACCAGAGAATATGTTTTTTTTTTAATTGATTTTTAGAGCGGGAGGAATGGGGAGAGAAACACGGATATGAGTGAGAAGCATCAATTGGTTACCTCCTATACTCCAGTATGCACCCCGACTGGGAATCAAACCCACAACCTAGATATATGCCCTGACCGGGAATCAAACTGGCAACCTTTTGGTGTATGGGACGACACTCCAACCAAATGAGCCACCACCATCGATTCTTTTTTTTATTTAAAATTATTTTTAAAATTTGTTTTTATTGATTTTAGAGAGAGGGAGAGGGAGGGATAGAAACATTAATCAGTTGCTTCCTGCACGTTCCCTATTGAGGATCAGGCCCACCACTCGGTATTGCCCTGACCGGGAATCGAACCAGTAACCAGTGACCTCTTGGTGCATGGTTACGGAAGAGTGTGGTGTCGTAGAAGCCAAGTGAAGACACATGTTTCAAGGAGGAGGAGGGATCGACTGCTGATGGATAGGCCAAGATGAGGATGGGGAATGGCCGAAGGACTCAACAAGGCTGGAGGTAATGCATCCTGGACAAGAGCAGGCTAGACAGAGTGTGGTAGTGGCGGTGGTGGGGAGGGGGAGGGGGGGGGGTGAGAAGTTTGAAATTGAGGGGGATTAAGAGCAAAGAAGGAGGGGAGGAACTGAAGACAGAATATAAGTCGCTTTTTGGAGTTTTGTTATAAAAGGAAGTAGAGAAATGGGGCAGCAGCTGGAAGCTAACGGAGAATCAAGAAAGGTTTTTTAGAAACACCGACCTGGAGTTAAAGTAACAGGGAGAACCAAGATGGCGGCATAGGTTAACGCCGAGTTTGCTGCCTTGAACAACTACTTCAAAAGTGAAACTAAAAAACGGAACGGACATCACCCAGAACCACAGGAACGCCGGCTGAGTGGAAGTCCTACAACTAGGAGGAAAGAGAAACGCATACAGACACTCAGAGGAGGCGCAGTGCTGAAGTCAAATTCTGAGGTGCGGAGTGCGAGGAGCGGGCTGGCGGCGGAGGGCGCGGTTGGCGTTTTCAATCGGGAGGGAGTCGCAGACTCTGAGCTCCAGATACAGGCAAGTCTTTAGGGACCCAGACTCAAACGGGAGAAGCGGGACTGTCTGGCTTTGGTCAGAGCGAGTGCAGCTTTCTCTACGAGCTTTGCAGCGGGTGCTGGGACTCAGAGAGGCAGAGCCCTTGGGGACAGGACTGAGAGCCGCCATAACTGCTCTCTCCGGCCTACCCTGTTGATCCTGTGCGACCCGCCCCGCCCAAGCCCTGCACACAGGCATTTGCCGGATAGCCTCAGGCAAAGGCTAGATTAGCACCTCCCTAGAGGACAGAAGTTCTCTCACTGCAGACACAGCTGATTCTCATAGCCACCTGGCCTGGAGGTCAAACCCTCCCTGGTATTAGCTACAACAATCAAGGTTTAACTATAAGACTGCGAACAAAGACCACTAGGGGGTGCACCAAGGAAGCATAACAAAATGCGGAGACAAAGAAACAGGACAAAATTGTCAATGGAAGATATAGAGTTCAGAACCACACTTTTAAGGTCTCTCAAGAACTGTTTAGAAGCCACCAATAAACTTAATGAGATCTACAAGAAAACTAATGAGACCCTCGATGTTATATTGGGGAACCAACTAGAAATTAAGCATACACGGACTGAAATAACGAATATTATACAGACTCCCGACAGAAACACTGACCTGATACACCAAGGTCAGCGGTTCTCAACCTGTGGGTCGCGACCCCTTTGGCGGTCAAACGACCCTTTCACAGGGGTCACCTAAGACCACCCTGCATATCAGATATTTACATTACGATTCACAACAGTAGCAACATTACAGTTATGAAGTAGCAATGAAAATAATTTTATGGTTGGGTCACAACATGAGGAACTGTATTTAAAGGGCCAGAAGGTTGAGAACCACTGACCAAGGTGTTAGTTTGATCCCGTCAGGCAACATACAAAAACCAACCAATGAATGCAATAAATAAAACAACAAATTGATGTTTCTCGCTCTCTAACATCAATTTTAAAAACTAAAAAAAAAGTTTTTTCCAAGATGGGAGACCAATCAGGATCTCAACTCCTATTTCTCATCTTTTCTCTCTTTTTTTTAAAATATATTTTATTGATTTTTTTACAGAGAGGAAGAGAGAGGGATAGAGAGTTATAAACATCAATGAGAGAGAAACAGCGATCAGCTGCCTCCTGCACACTCCCCACTGGGGATGTACCCGCAACCAAGGTACATGCCCTTGACCGGAATCGAACCTGGGACCCTTCAGTCCGCAGGCCGATGCTCCATCCACTGAGCCGAACCGATTAGGGCTCATCTTTTCTCTTGCTGTAGGCAAATCTACAGCCTTTTTCACCTCCCTCCTCAAGCCCAAAAATATTTTTGCAAAGCTTAACCTCCAGAGGGTTCCGAGCTGTAGGGAGTGGAAGTCAGAGTCCTTTGTTCCTGCTTTTTGCTTTCACGTCCCTCCCCAGGGCAACGAGCTTGGCCAGCTCAGTCAGCGTGTGGGGCTCCAGAGCAGAAAGGACAAAGATGTCTCCTGGGCCCTCACACAGGAAGTGAGCAGGAACACCCAGGTCCCCGGCCCTGTCTCCCGCCCATGAGGCTTCACGGCTGAGCTGTTTTCGCTGAATAAAGTCTCTCCCTTCACTGGAGAACATGTGAACATGGCCCTAAGGCAGTGGTTCTCAACCTGTGGGTCGCGACCCCTTTGGGGGTCGAACGACCCTTTCACAGGGGTCGCCTGAGACCATCGGAAAACACATATATAATTACATATTGTTTTTGTGATGAATCACTATGCTTTAATTATGTTCAATTTGTAACAATGAAAATACATCCTGCATATCAGATATTTACATGACAATTCGTAACAGTAGCAACATTACAGTTATGAAGTAGCAATGAAAATAATTTTATGGGTGAGGGTCACCACAACATGAGGAACTGTATTAAAGGGCCGCGGCATTAGGAAGGTGGAGAACCACTGCTCTAGGGAAATGGGCCAGACTCCTAGGACTCAGATTTCTGGAGGAAACCAAAACAGCCCGTCCCTGTTCCAGGAGAGAGGCTGCAGATTGCAAGGACCAGTGTCATCACCTTCGTTGCACTGCGACGTCACTCACAAGTGCAATTCACTCCATGCAGCGCCTTATATAATGTGTGTGTGTGTTGGGGGAGTGGACTCCCCCACATCCTGGGAGAGAACACGGTCTAACAACGGCTCCAGAGCAAGATCCAAATCAGAGCGACTGAAGGGAAAGGAGTGCAGCTGACCAGGAGGCGACGGCACATTCGGCTCCACACAGCTGCTGCTGGACATGAAGGTCCCGGGAGGCCAAGTCTCCCCGATTTTCTGGAGAACACAGAAAATCTGGATTTTTAACGTGAAATCATCCAAATTCTTAAATGTTGGCAACTAACGCAAAATTTTAAAATAAGGTGAGTTGGTCAAATCCAAGAAAAGGAGGCTTGCAACGGAGAAGCGATTCGCCAAAACCCAAACAGACAGGCGAGGAGGCGGAGTCCAGTCTCCTGAAAGCTTCTTTCGGGCACAGCTTCCTGGTCGTAAAATGCACTCACGCTGGGCTCAGGCTGAACCCCTCCCGCGCTCGGGGCGGGAGAGCCACGTGCAAGGTCGCCCACCCCGCCGGCAGCGCCCGCCTCACCGCGCCCTCCATCCCAGAGCGCCCAAGGCTCCCGGACTCCGGACTTCGCCCTGCGTCCCCCGGGCGAGAAGGTCACTATCTGTCCCCCTGCGCCCCCCCATTTCCACACACTCACCCCCCTCCCCACCTTACCCCCCCCCCCCCCCCCCCCCCGCTGCAAGCCCGACTGCCACCCCGTCCCCAGCGGGCCACACACGACTGTCCTGCTCGGCCCTCCCGCCCCGTCCCGAGACTGCCTGCGGCGGCCACCTGTCCACCCCGGGCTCCAGAGGCCGGTCCGCGGGCGCCCGGGCCCCTCGCGCGGGGCTCCACAAACGCGCCGGGCGGCTGGGAGGGGAGGCGCGCGGGAGCCGCCCGCACCGGCTTTATTGTGTCGCCAGGACTCGCGGGTGAGGCCGCCGCCCGCCCCCTCGCGCCTGCGCCGCGTCCTGGGCCGGGCGCGCGGCCGGCTGGCGGGCCTCGTCCGCCTGCTCCAGCAGGTGCATGCGCGCCGTGGTCTCGGTGAGCATGTCCATGAGCACCTCCTGCTGCAGCCGCAGGTAGTTGTTCTCCTCCAGCAGCACCTGGCTGCCGGGCTGCACCTGCGCCTTCCGGCCCGCCGAGGCCGGCGAGGGCAGCACCGGCCTCAGCCGCCCCGGCGGGCCCTCGGCGGCCCAGCGGCCGCTGCGGAACACGAACGCCCGGTCGCCGAGGCGCGTGCGCGGCGCGCCGTAGCCGAGCCCCAGCTCCGCGTGGCGCGTGCGGTGGTCCAGCAGGTAGAAGGTGGACATGGAGGACACGCGGCGCAGCGGCGGGCGCCGGGGCGAGAAGCGCTGCGAGAAGTGGTCGGCCCAGAACTGCCGCAGCCGCTCCCGCAGGCCGCTGGCGAGGTCCATGGCCGGGCACCCGGAGGCCTTCGGGTCGAGGACCAGGTGGGCCCCGGCCGGCGTGTGGGCGCCCGGAGTGGAGAAGCGAGGACGCTGGAGGACGCGCAGCCTTGGGGCCCCTGGTGTTCTGAATGATGAAAGCAAGTCAGGGGCACTGCCGGGGGAGGGCGTCCATCCGCACAGCCCGAGATGGGAATTTGTTCTAGGGGAGTGAACAAGATGAAGCTAATATTAAAAAAAAAAAAAAAAAAGAAAAGATGAAGCTAATATAGGGCGTCATGGGTCGGAGTCCCTAGAAGCAGAGCCCGAGGTGAGAATTGTTGAGCAGCCTGCTCGGTGACGCCTGCCCCCTCAAATCGCGTGGCCTGGTGGACAGGCCTTGGCCACTGAGAGCCCATCCCTGCACAGTCCTACTCGCAGCAGTCCCCCGAAACCATCTTCCCAAAGGCCGCCCTGGGTTAGGCCCTGGGGACAGAAATGCCAATGAAGAACCAGACCCCTGCTCTCTGAGCCCTGGGTGGCTGCTGGGAGGGCTCCCGGGTGGGGGAGGAGGGAATAATACCAGAGACAGGTACTTCAAAGATGTGCGGGATTGTGCCAGGAGGGTTGCGGGTGGATAAGGGCGAGTGAAGAGCCAGGCAAGGCTTGCATGTTTCAGAGCGAGGAGGAACTTGGGGTGGGGTTGGTGCCCAATACTTAGTGGGGAATAGCAGGAGAGGGAGCTGGACAGGGGCAGGAGTGCACAGACTTCCCTCTGAGGGGAAGAGGGCACTGCTGAAGGCTGACAACGCCAGGGCCAGGTCTGGACCAGCACAGTATTTGGTAGGATGCCTAGCACAACCAGCAGCATGATTGCCCTCATCACTGAGTTATTCTGCAACCTCGAACTAGCACCTGCTCTGTGCCAGGCCCTGGTCGGGGCCGGGGGTTGCAGCCTGTGTCTGCCTTCAAGATGCTGCTGGTTTGGCTGGGAAGCCAGACGTGTTTGTGGAGAGTTCACAGCCCAGCGTGCACAGTGTCATCCGGGGGCATGTGCCTGGGCGAGGACCTATGCTTAGGGCTTGAGGTAACGGTTCTGCAGACTACACCTGGCTTTGGTCCCAAGCAGACCACATCCTCAAGGAAGCTAAAGTCCAAAAGCAGACACGTCCCATTTTCCTTCTCCCCCTTCCCCACCCCTTATCTCCCTGTAAGTGCTGATTCTGTTGTATGTGAGAAGAGGACTATATGCTCTCTTAAGTTCCTCTTCTCCCCATGAAGTGTGAAAAAGGGAAAGAACCCTGGGGCGGGGGTCCCTCTGTCATGCCTTCATTAGTTCAACACACGCTTATTCCTCACAGATAGCTGGGTAGAGGCTGGGTGGTGCTATGTACTCGCTGTGGCTCAGGGACACATCTTTGAAAGCCTACAGAGGACCCAAGAGGTACAACCAGGCTCACACTTGAGGTTGCATCTTTCCAGAGAACCCTTCCCTGAGAATCCTCACTGCGTGTTGTCCCGCACCTGGAGGCTGCGCTGGAGGTGCTGAGCTGCTGCCCCAGGCTTGGCGCCTCTCTGAACCACTCAGCTGATGTCCACCTGTTATGACTCACAATGCCTCCAGGCCAGATCAGCCGCAACAAAAGAGGTGTTGCCTGCCAAGCCATCAAACAGACCCTGGGCTCTCCTGTTTTTATTCAGCACATTCACTGAGGGCCTACTGTGTTGGAGGGGCTCCTCTAGGGGTGTGTGGAAGCCATCCTTCTTGTGGGGAGGTCAGCACAGCCTGAGAGAGGACTTTGTTCTAGGGGAGTGAACAGGTGAGGTTAATACAGGGTGTCTTGGGTCAGAGTCCCTAGAAGCAGAGCCTGAGGTGAGAATTCTTTGATTTATTGGAGAAGTGCTCTTGGAAGAAGGGAGTGAGGAAAGCAGGACAGGGTAGGGAAAACAGCTGCAGGGAAGTTAAAGTGTGCCCTCAAGTGGCGATAAGCTTCAGCCCAATCCCACAGGAAGCTGCAGAAATTGCACCTCAGAATTAGGCCTCTTTACCAGGGTCAGACCCAGCTCCAGGGGAGCTCACACCTCGGCAGAGCCAGGTGGCTGTGTCACCACCTGGACAATTTTTTTTTTCTAGAACATTTACTGAGTTATAGTTGACAATAAAATACAAATATTTGTAATGCACAATTTGATATGTTCTGATAATGTATGAAATCAGGATATGGAGGTATCCATTATCCGAAGTTTCCTCTGTCCTATCACTATAGATTCATTTACATTTTCTAGAATTGTATATAAGTGCAATTTAGTATGCACTTTTTTGCACTATCTTCTTACTGTTACAGAATTTACCAGGCGACTGGAAAATACACATACAGGAGTATTTGGAGATACAGGAAAAACCCATTTATTTCCAGATGTACTAGTACCGTGACTCAGGGGAGCTTGTTTCCAAATCCTGAGCAACCAATATGGAGGAAGCTTTCTCTTTATACCCTTTGGTTTCTTTGTCCCCTGTATGTGGATCAGACTTCCGGACCTTTCATGGGCTTTGCAAAAATCCCCGTGTGTTGGGATGGGGGCCATGAGACCACACCTAAACGCCTGGCTTGGTACCAGCGCTGAAAACCCCAGAGGGGTGTCTTGCTCATGGTTTATGGCCTCTGTAAAATGTGAGTATTTAGGTAAACAGGTCTTGCAAGACCAGATAATTAAGGAAGGGGCAGTGACTAGGCTATAGGCTAACAGGAATGTGCATTAGGGATACTAATTAACTAGGTACAGAGTCAGGCTGCTGGTCTCCCCCCGCCCCCAAAATGTCTTATTTTCCTCATCATTACAGCGTAATTATTTTGAGATTCATTCATGCTGCATTTATCAACAATTCATTCCCTTTATTGATGAGTAGTATTCCATTGTTGGAAATACCATAATTTGTTTTTCTATCTATCTGTTGATGGAAATTTGGGTTGTTTCCAGTTTGGGGGCTATTATAAGTACAGCTGATATGAACACCTGTGTACAAGCCTTTGGGTGTCCATGTACATTCATTTCTCTTGAATGAGTACTCAGGGGTGGAATGACTGGGTCATATGGTAGGCACATGTTTACTTCTCTGTGAAGTTACGAAACTTCCCAGAATGGTTGACCAAATCCCCATCACCAGTGAAAGAGTTTCTGTTCCTCCACATACTTGACAACACTTTGTATAGTAAATCTTTTTAAAAAAAAAAATATATATATATATATTTATTGATTTCATGGAGGAAGGGAGAGGGAGAGAGAGATAGAAACATCAATGATGAGAGAGAATCATTGATCGGTTGCCTCCTGCATACCCCCTACTAAGGATCGAGCCCACAATCTGGGCATGTACCCTTGACCGGAATCGAACCCGGGACCCTTCAGTCCACAGGCCAATGCTCTATCCACTGAGCCAAACCGGCTAGGGCATAGTAAATCTTTTTAATTGTAGTCATTTTAGTGGGTGTATCTAAATTGTGGTTTTAATTTAATTTCTCACAGCTAATGATGTTGGGTGTCTTTTCATGTGCTATTTGTTACCCTCCTTGGTGAGGTTGTTCAAGTCTTGTCCATTTATTTTGTATTAGATAGTTTTCATTGAGTATAAGGAGTTATTTAATGCTATATATTTGTCGGATATATTTTTTTCCAGACTGGCTTGCCTTTCTTTCCTTTTACCTTTTTTTTGAATCTTAAAATAATACTTATTGTTGAGAGTATTACAGATGTACCCCCCCCCCCCGCCATTGTCCTCCTCCACCTGGTTCCCACTCTACCTCAGGCCTTCACCACCCTATTGTCTGTGTCCATAGGTAAATGTATATATGCATATAAGATACTTGGTTAATCTCCCCCCCCCCCCCGCTTTCCCTCTGAGATTAGTCAGTTTGTTCCATGTTTCCATGCCTCTGATTCTATCTTATTCATCAGTTTATTTTGTTCATTAGATTTCTTGTTCTTTCATTCTGATTTTTAGATTCAGTTGTTGATAGATATGCATTTATTGCCATGTTATGTTTTTGTTGTTGCTGTTGTCCCCCCCCCCCTCCTCCTGCTTCTTCTCCTTCTCCTTCTCTTCTCTTTCTCTTTCTCCCTCTTAAAGAATACCCTTAAACATTTCATATAATCCTGGTTTGGTGGTGATGAGCTCCTTTAGCTTTTTCTTGTCTGTGAAGCTCTATCTGACCTTCCATTCTAAATGATAGCTTTGCTGGGTAGAGTAATCTTGTTTGTAGGTCCTTGCTATTTATCACTTCGAATATTTCTTGCCACTCCCTTCTGGCCTGCATAGTTCTGTTGAGAAATAGATGACAGTCATATAGGTATTCCCTTGTAAGTAACTAACTGCTTTTCTCTTGCTGCTTTTAACACATTGCAGACAGATCATGAGAATTTTCGTATTTTCTGTTCTAAGGCTTGTGGTCAATCACGAGAATTTTTTAAAAAGATAATAACTTGTAAGAACATGTAATAAATAACTTCAAAATGCAATGGGTATTTAATTTTAAAGCATGTCTTTAACATTAATGTAAAACGTTTTTTTTGTACTCGTTCAATAGAAACTTATCTGGCCACTGGGTAAAGCTAGCAATAAAACTACTGGTCCCCAGTGTGTTAAGATTCTCTCTTTGTCTTTATACCTTGGGATTTTAATTATGATGTGTCTTGGTGTGGGCCTCTTTGGGTTCCTCTTGTTTAGTACTCTCTGTGCTTCCTATACTTGTAAGTCTATTTCTTTCACCAGGTAGGGGAAGGTTTTTTTTTTATTTTTTTTATTTTTATTAGTTAAGGTATTACAGATGTGTCCTCATCCCCCCCATTAACCCCAGCCTCTCCCTCCCCCCCCCCCCCCGCCCCGCACACTCATGCTCCCATCCCCCTGTTGTCCATGTCCATTGGTTTGGCTTATATACATGTATACAAGTCCTTCGGTTGATCTCTTCCCCTTACCCCCGCCCTCCCCTACTTTCCTTCTGGGGATTGATAGCCTGATCGCTGTTTCTCAGTCTTTGAGTCTGTCCCTTTTCATCAGTCTATGTTGTTCTCTATAATCCACAAATGAGTGAGATCATGTGGTATTTATCTTTCTCTGACTGGCTTATTTCACTTAGCATAATGCTCTCCAGTTCCATCCATGCTGTTGCAAAAGGCAAGAGTTCCTTTTTTTTTTTACCGCAGCATAGTATTCCATTGTGTATATGTACCACAGTTTTCTAATCCACTCATCTGCTGATGGGCACTTAGGCTGTTTCCAAATCTTAGCTATGGTGAATTGTGCTGCTATGAACATAGGGGTGCATATATCCTTTCTGATTGGCGTTTCTGGTTTCTTGGGATATATTCCTAGTAGTGGGATCACTGGGTCAAATGGGAGTTCCATTTTTAGTTTTTTGAGGTAGCTCCATACTGTTTTCCACAGTGGCTGCACCAGTCT